CTGGAGGGTGTATAGGATGTGCCAGTGACAACATAACTCATCCTAGGCACATCCTCATTTCTAACCCTTGGAGCTGAATGTCCAGTGTTAGTCCTTAGTAAACAAGGGAAGAGTGAAGTGGGAAGGAGGGATGGAGGGAGGCAAAGAGAATACTATATGCTTTAGTTGTTAAAATACAAGCCCTTTTCCTTCCCTTAAAAAATATTTTAGCGAGTAAATAATCTGAATTTTCTAGTTGGCATGTATCCCCGGGCCCTCTTTTTAACATGTCAAAGTGACTAACGTAACACTCTGTTCTAGGCTTAGGGCTTGATAAGCCTTGCCACTTCTGTGTTTGCTTGCTCTCTTGACTACTGCACAATGAGAGATCACACTGGGAGAAGAGAGGCTCTGTGGAGGAGGATCAAGATGTCCCAACCAACAGCCAACACCAAGGTCCTGGACATGTAGAGTAAGGCCGTCCTGGACCCTCTAGTCTCAGTCAAAGGATCCCAGCTGATACCACATGGGCACACCTAAGCCCTCCCAGAATTGTCGGGGGGGGGGGGGGGAATCACTGCTGTTTTAAGTCACAGTTTTGGACTTGATTTGTTATGTAGCAATGGACAACTGAAATAGGCATCTTATAATTCCCTCTCTCCCTCCATCTCTCCCTCTCTATCTCCCTCTCCCTCTCCCTTTCCCATGCTTAAATGCCTGGTTTTCTACATTCTCTTTCACGATTGTTTTCTACTTATTCCTGGATCCCTCCCAATTTTATTCCAAGGCACAAAGCAAATACCATATGTAAAATATTCTTACTAAATGAGAGACTATTATGCCAGTAACTATGGTGGGCATCACTTAATATCTGTATTAGGACTTATTTCAAGCAAGAGGGCATATGCTATCATATACTTCTTGTTGGGGGAAGGAATGAAAAAATGCTGTTGAAAAGCATTTCTTCAAGTGTGGTTTCGGGATTGGCCAACTTTTGACACTACAGTTGGAAAATTAGTCACTCCAGGACCTTTGTGAATGTATGCTATAGCCAAGGCCAAGGGAATGCTCATGAAATATTGTTACTTAAGATCTCAATGGTATGGATTTTACAAATTAAGTCTCTGACAATGTTAATGGAAAGATATAAAAATGCTCTGGATTTGATGGCTGAAGTTCAGTTTTCTTGGCAGAAGATTCAAAGCCTTGTCTCCAGAAAGTCAAAGGCCAAAGTATGGCCATGGATGCTTAGGATTCCTCTGAGGTAAACATCACAGGCTTCCAAAGGAGGCCGAGGCAGCAGCTGCTCACTTTATACCATACCTGGCCTGAAGCTACATTTAAAAAGGAGTCAAGCTGCCTTATTCTAAGTTGTTTTTACCAGTAAGGCAAGCCTGATGAATATTAAAGATGTTCTCCCTGGAATAATGCACATATACATCATAAGCCCGAGAGTAAAAACCTCTATTAAGAGTGTATTTTAGCTCCTTCAGGACTGGGGACATACACTCTGGTGTTCTCCCTCACACTCCTTACTCCTTCATCAGCTCCCACAGGAACATGGACTCACTGTGATTCATCCTGCTCTCTGGCCCAGACTAATGCAAAAGAACATAGAACTAAGCACTATGAAACTCTTAAAATGCACCTCAGAAGTCCACAGCAGAGAGTCACGAAATGTACAATTCAGCCAACTAGATGAGTCTCCTCACCAGTTCTTGCCCATATACTTGCAGGCCTGGCCATGCATTTCACATTTCATTTCTATTTCTAGATTTTGTGCCCAAGGCAAGATAGCTGCTTGTCTACACAAGTTTCAATACTGTTATTAGCAGTATCCGGTTCTTTTTTCTGTCGTGTTACTTTCAAATATGTTTTCTGGCTTGAACGCCCAAGGACCCAATAAAAGAGCGACAGTTCAAACACCAGTAGATAATACCTGCTATAAGGTCAAATTTGTTCTTTCAGGGGCATGAAACATAATCAAATTGCTTACTCCTTACCATTTAATATTCTTTTATTTAAGAAAAGATTAAGTTATAAAATGCACTATTTTGGGAGAAGGGCACATGTGACATTCAGGGATGGAGCTGAGCTCTATTTTCAGAGAATTCTATTGGCACTGCTAAAAACAATGGTTTATACTCACTGGACCTTACTACCCCCTAGAATCTTGGTTAAATCCTTTACATAAATCACCTTATTTAAGCCTCAGAACAAACCAATGGAATGACTGTGGCACACTGGCCAAATGATAACCGAACTTGCTTCCCTCTTCTCTGAGTATATGGTTGGTTTACTTTCCCAGCCCCCCCTTGCAGTTAGATGGGGCCATGTGAATTCTGGCCAATGGAATGTAGAAGAAAATAAGGAAAGCATCATCTAGGCTTGGCCCATATAAACTTATCCAATCTCCTATGTTCTCACATTGCTTCCCCCAGCTGTCTATTGCAGAGATCTGCAGAGCAGAGGCAGGGCTACATGATGGGAGAACCTAGGTTACTGAATCACTCACTATACAAGATGCCTGCAGTGAACTGCTATGTGAGCAAGAGATCAACTTTTACTGTCCTCAGTCACTTGATATTTTGGGCCTGTTTGTTACAGCAGTTAGACTATACTGAAAGTATTTTTAAAAATAAGCCTAGAGAGGTTAAGCCCAGCAAGTAAGGGGAAGCATATTTGTTGGCATATTTTAATCCAAGTGGTTTGTCTTTAGAAACCATATTATTAACTGCGGTTCGACTATCTGCCCTCTATACAAGTTCATTTTTATCAGACATAACAAACTTCTCCCATACCTGATGTACTATATTTGAAGAAGGTGGTTGGAAGGAGGCCCAAAGTTTGTATTAAAAAGAAGATAATCTCTTAAAAAAATAATTTGATTTCTATATCTCTTTATTAACCTTGGGAGAGGGAGGCCATGCTACTTACACAACCTAGCCGAATACCCCTGCTACTTGTGAACATTTATACTCAGAGGTCCTTTAGTAGTTATTAATGCTCTATAATAACTTATGACCAAAACTTAGTGGCTAAAAACATACTCATTCCCTGCTTCTGTGGGTTGGGAACTCAGGAGAGACTCAGCACGGTGGTTCTGACTCAGGGTCTCTAACGAGGTTGCACTGAAGATATCAGCCAGGGCTGCATCATCTGAAGGCTTGATCAGGGCTGCAGCATTCACTTCTGAAGCAGCTCACTCACGTGTATGGCAAGTTGGTCTGATTGCTGGCAGGAAGCTGGCTTCCTCCCCACAGGGCTGTGGGACTGCCTTTATAACACTGCAGCTTGCTTCCCGCTCAATGAGCCCGTCCAGAAACAAAGGCAAATGTTATAAGATCTTTTATGACTCGTCTCCAAAGTCACACTCCATTACTTTTGCAAAACCCTACCGATCACATTGGGATCACTATTCCTGTTGATCACACTGGGATTAATATTGGAATCTCTTATTCCCCTTGGAGGGAACTACACAATGGAGTGAATATCAGGAGACAAGGGTCCTGAGAAGCATTTAGAGGCCAACTACCACAAGAGCCCATTCACAGTATATGTGCTGGGTGCCTACTGAGAGCCTAAGAACCAAGCAGTGAAAAAAACTGACAATAGTCTCTGCTTTTGTGAAGCACACATTCTCGTGGAGGTCGCAAAGGCAACAAGATCAGATCTGTAAGTAAATTATATAGAATGCTAGGAAGTGGTAAGTGCTATGGAGAAAGAGAAATCAGGATCAAGGGGAGGGGGAGTGGATGAAGCTGAGACTGCTTGCAATTTTAAATGCTGAAATATAAATGGGACTCACTTAGAAGGCTTGGAAGAGGTGAGGAGACAAGCCGTGTAGTTAGATGAAGGAAGAGTATTTCGGGCCTGGAAACAGCAACTGCAAAGGCCTTGAGGGAGGAGAGGGTGCCGGGAGTGGGGAACAGCAAGGCAGCCCAGGTAGGAAATGAGACAGTAACAGAGGGGAAAGTAGAGACCATGTGGGACCTTCCAGACTCTTGCAAGGGCTCTAGCTTTCACTCAGTGACATGGAAAGCCCCTGAAAGGTTCTTAGCAGACAACCAATTTGATTTGATTTAAATTTCAACAAATCTCACTCTGGTGACTGATATCAGAATAGACAAGCCAACAGTGGGAGCAGGGAAGCAAACAAGAAGGCTCTAATAAAAATCCAGACAAGAGAGAATGTTAGCTAACAATAGAGTGTTATTAGTGTAGGTGGTGGTAAGCAGTCTTGATTATTTGGCATTATCTAGCAAAATTAATTTACCATTCTAGGTAAAGGTTTACTTAGAAGGAGCACATTTTTTATTTGACACCAGAGCTGTGGCTGTCAAATGGTGCTCCAGGGGACCCTGCAGCTTCTGAGAAGCTTCCTAGGGATCTGCCATGTGGAGCTGGGGTGGAACAGATGAGTGAAACATCCTGCCCCTACCTCAGTGTTATGAGGACATCTCTGTGTTAACATACGTCAATATGTGGAGTGAGGGAGGCCTTCTTAAGAAAGAACAAAATGTCCTAAAGTAAAAGATAGACCACACACACACATGCAAACATACACACATGCAAACACACACACACACACACACACACACACGCATGCAAACACATACACACAGAAAGAATACACCACTTATATAACTGAAAGGCAAACTTCAGATTAGGAAAAATATTTGCAACACAAATGAAAATAGTTTAATGTCTCTAATATTAACTATTATAAATTCATATGAGGACAACCAAGATGGGCAAAGGAAATCTTCAAAATGAAACTTAGACTAGCACCTTCTTCATTGGATTGTTGTGAGGATAAAAAGGCAACATATATAAAGGACTTAGCACAGTTCCCACTATAGAATAAATGCTGTTCCACCATAACTACGGGTGTTGTTACAGCTACTTCATCATCATCACAGTTCTCATTAGCAATGTGAACACCAGTCAACCCTGAATGCCAGTTCCAACTCAGCCACCTCCAAGGCAAATTCTTCAGTGCCCAATTATACTTATATTACCTTATCATGGTTTTCGATCAGGATCTCAATAACAATGTTCTGAAATTTGATATCCATGATGGCAGCTACTGTTTCTTCCTGAGGCCTAAGCAGGGTGGGTCCAAACACCACGCCAAGGTTCGCCACTGTCATCAAATTTTGCTTGTGGTTGTTAGCAACACTGGGAAAAAGAAAAGATAAGGCACAGATGAGAGAAATAGTGTACAAATAAACTGCTGACTTCCCTATACCTTTCCTATTTTTCAACTTCTCATCTAGAAGAAATCAGATCTTGGGATACCTTCTGATATCCTTGGAATTCAAAGACAGACTTTTCTACTCATAGTTTCATCTATCAGAACTTCAGAAATCTTCAGTATCCACACTATTTAGCTATTTCATATTATCATTTCCATTTTGCCTAAACAACTAACTGACCAAAGCAGCTGCCTCCCAAAATATGAACCTTTGTACATCTGAATCCCTGTTCTGCAAATCCATGTACCTGCTCAGTTACAATTTCTATATTTGGCTGCTATTTAAACCTCTGTGACCAGTAGCATTTTCTGTAGCTGAAATATAAAAACTCTTGGCTTCAATATATTTGCAAACATAGACACAAAATAGGCCTAATTTTCAAAATGGGTAGCTCTGGATACTCAAAAAGAAGATAGAAAATTAAGCACTTTAGGCTCAGAGTATCAAAGTACCATCACACAAAAAAATGTGGCTTATATTAAATGAAACATGTGCACAAACAGAATAAAAAACCCTACTGTAGATCTATGTATATGGCTGTGTTTATATTGTCATTTATACTCAAAGGATAAGGAATACACAGGGTCAACAGTAGCTGGGTCCAAGTAACTTGCTAAACACATATGCATATCCAAATTAACCATCACTCCATCACAAAGATGGCAGCACCCATAGCCACAAGATGGCAGCACCCAGTACTCTCAGACCTGCTGGAGTCCCCCAGTCCCTGGGGTGTTGAGGGGGGATGGCTGCTGAGAGCAGGCAGCGTGAGTGGCCTGGCAGAATGCCTGCTTTGTCACCCTGGCCAAGAGGCAAGCATTCCGCGCCCAGCCGCGGATGGGCCTCTGGGCCACGGAAAGCCTCTGGGCAGCAGGCATGGAGCAGCCAGGCCCTTCAGAGAGCTATTGGCACAGGATTCGTGGGCAGGGCTACTAGTTTTTGGATAAGCAGCTACACAAAACATATATCTGAACTCCACAACTAGGCCACCATTACCTAGCCATAAAACTTAACTGTCCATTTGCTAACCTTGAGTATAAAAATATAAAAATTACCTATTAGCCACAAGTAAGTCAAAAGTTAAAGCCATTCAGTATTGTTAAGAACGTACTAGGGGCTTCTCTAAATCACCTGTTAGAAGAAGGAAACTATTCATTATGAGAAACTAGAGAGAAATTGGGCAGAGAAGTCAGTTTGCACAGACAAACCTCCCTAGCATTCAGGGCTATTTATAGTGAGTGCTTTTTTAACACAATTCTGTAAATGCCGGCACTGTTTTGCTTGTATACTTCTACTTTGTGGGAGAAAAAAAAATGTTCTACTGACCTAAGTGTTGGTTTTGAAACTGAGCCTTTACTGAAATAGTATCTTAACCAATTTTATCAGCAGATGTGTACTTTGCTATACTTTTCTAGGGCTGAAAGTAATTTCCTAAAAACTTCCACCTCTGAAAGGGTCATGAGGGGGAGGGGTCAAGTCTATGAACTCAATTAGAAATACAATCTGCTTTTTGATTGCTAAGCAACACCTGCAGCAAGAAGATTTGCCAACCATATCCTGGTCCACATAAGAATATTTTACAAACATTCTTTGTATTCCTGGAGTTTTCAGTTCTACCCAGAACTGTATCACATTTCTAGTCTGAAAGCCTTAATGCAGATGGTCAAGTTTTTACCTGGCAAGGGGGAAAAAGACTTTGCTTCTGTTCCTTAGTTCATCAGCAAGTATGCATATTTAAAAGCTGCAGTAACCACCATTGCTTTCAATATCAGCTCCTGTGTGCAGAAGTGAATTCCATGCCCTTATAGTTCCCCTCCCAAATGAGTTAAGTCAATAGACTTACCCCTCTTGTCACAAAAGTCCTTTGTGCAAATGAATCAACAAGTTATATATGTATAAAGGCACTTTTAAATTGCAGACCAATATAAAAATACATGGTTTGGATGATGATCATTCTTCACCACCCAAAGTCAAGACTCCTTCCATCACCATTTATCTCCCCATACCCCCTTTTACCACCTCTCAATCCCATTTCCCTCTGGTAATCACCATACTGTTGTTTGTGCCCATGGGTTGGGTTTTTTCGATTTGGTTTAATGCCTTCATCTTTTTCATCTGGCACCACAACTCCTCTTCCCTCTGACAGCTGTCAATCTCTTACCTATCTACAAGTCTGCTTCTATTAGGTTTGTTAGTTTATTTTGTTTATTTGATTCCACATGAGTGAATTCACATGGATACTTGTCTTTCTCAGACTGGCATTATTTCACTTAGCATAATGCTCTCCAGGTCTATCCATGCTGTCACAAAGGGTAAGTTCCCTTCTTTTTTTTTTTTTATGGCCGAGTAGTATTCCATTGTGTAAAGGTACCACAGTTTATTTACCTTATAATGGACATTTGGACTATTGTAAATAATGCTGCAATGAAAACAGGTGAGCATATATTCTTTCAAATTCATGTTTCAGGTTTCTCCAAATATTCAATATATTTCCAAGTGGAAGTGCTGGGTCATAGGCAGTATAATTTTTAATTTTTTAAAGTAACTCCACACTGCTTTCCTTAGCGGCTGTGCTAATCTATATTTCCACCAGTAGTGCATAAAGGTTCCCTTTCCTCCACATCCGGGCCAGCATTTGTTTGTTGATGTATTCATGACAGCCCTTTTAACAGGTGTGAGGTGATATCTCATGTGGTCTTATTTGCATCTCTCTGATGTTTACTGACATCGAGCATCTTTTCATATGTCTATGTCTATGGCCATCTGTATGTCATATTTGGAGAAGTGGTTATGCAGGTCCTTTATCCATTTTTAAACTGGATTGTTTACGGGGTTTTTTTGTGTTGAATTGTATAAGTTATTTATAAATTTTAGATACATTTATCAGATGTATCATTGGCAAATATGTTCTCCCATTCAGTAGGTTGTCTTTTCATTTTGTTGATGGTTTCCTTTGCTGTGTAAAAACTTTTGTTTGATATAGTACCATTTGTGGGGTTTTTTTTTGTTTTGTTTCTCTCTCAAGGCTATATATCAGAAAAAAACAAACAAAAAACAATGCTATAAGAAATGTCCAAGATTTTACTGCCCTTGTTTTCTTCTAGGATTTTTATAATTTTGAATCTAAGATTTAAATATTCAATCCATTATTAATGTATTCTTGTGTATGGTCCAAGAAGGTGATCTTGTTTCATTTTGTTTGCATGGATCTGCCCAATTTTCCCAACACCACTTGTTGAATAGGTTATCTTTATACCCATTATATGCTTTTGCCATCTTTGTCAAATAGTAATTGAAGATAAAGGCATTGGCTTATTTCTAGACTCTCTACTCTGTTCCAATGATCATATGTCTATTTTTATGCCAGTACCATGATATTTCTATTCCTATTGCCTTGTAGTATAGTTTGATATCAGGTAGTATGATTCCTCCAACTATGTTCTTCTTTCTCAAGATTGCTGTGGCTATGTGGTTCCATATAAATTTTTGGAATATTTGTCCTGTTCTGTGAAATACACCTTTGATATCTTGATAGGAATCGCACTGACTCAATAGATTGCTTTGAGTATGGACATGTTAATGATGTTAATTCCTCATATCCAGGAAGCGGCATATGTTTCAGTTATTTGTATTTTCTTCCATTTTTTTCCTTCAATGTCTTATAATTTTCAGAGTACAGGTCTTTTACATCCTTGGTTAAATGTATTCCTAGGTATTTTATTTTATTTGTTGATGCAGTCTCTGTCTAGTATTTCCTTAATCTTTCACCCCTCAATGAAGGCAGAAGTGTTGATCCAATTCTGTATTTATTACATGTTGCCTGGCCCAGGAGAAGCACAACAATGTTCACTGAGGTGTTAAAAGATGATGGAAGTTTCTCAGTAGACATAAGACAATTATTCTCAAGGCAGCTACTTACTCATAAAACCTCAAATTATTATTGATGATTTTGGGGAGAATGTATTTCAACCCAACCTCCAACCTCCCCTTTCAAAGCCTGGAGCTGTGTTCCATTTCTCAGGTTTAATTAATAAGGAACAATTATTCAGATATGCAGGCCTCAATGCCCAAAGGCATTTGGAAAGGCCAGTAATTCTGGAAAAGCAAGTCTGAATATAAATAGGCTTGAGGCTACCCAACATAATTCATTTCCTTTTTAATGATCCATTTTATTTTAGAACTTAAAAACACATTGATCTAAGTTTTATGAAACTTTGGGGAGGGGGGAAGCTGTACTTTCTATGACTAGCATATCTTTTGATACAGTGACATAATGAATTGATCTGTCACTTGATTATTACTACTCACAAATTGGTATGGCTATGTTCATTAATCCAGATTGAATTACTAATGGCTTGAGATCTCTATGTATCCCAGACAGAAAGGCCTAGACCTCAGCTTCTATTGGCACCAGCCAACCATCCATTACAGCTTGACAAATGTGCAGAGGTGTGGGAGGCAGGCTGGCAGAGGACTGAGAAGTCCAGTCCAGCAGAGGCCACGGGACTCATTCATTAGCAAGGTCTATAAAACACCGAGAGCCTGCTTTCTGGGCTGGTAACTGAGCTGCTTGAGCACTTTCTCCCACAGTCGAGAATGTCATGTTGAGTCTTGACCTAAAATCCACATGTAAAAGTTTCTTGTGCCTTGCACGTTCCATTGAAGGAGTCTTTGACTTGTCTTTTAGGTCCGTAGGCCCACATGGATTCCTTGTGGTGCCTTCTGAGAGAGCTGCCAATGCTATACGCTTCCTTTGCAGGTTGCTGAGAAATAGTTTCCGGTCTGTTTTAACCTGGGGGAAACCCAGCTCCTTTTGTGAGGGGCATGCCTTCAGGGCCCTTGGGGAATTTGCACCCCATGGTCCCTGCAATTCTCTTAGGAATTGCAATTAATGAGGAAAAAGTGGGTCCCAAGAAAATGGCT